ATGAGCGGAGATAGAAAGGAGGAGGTAGGAAGGAATATAAAAGTAATTTAAATATAGCATTTCAAATAGCTTTTCACTGCTATTACATTGGCTATCAAAAACAAATACTGGCTTTTATTTTTATTGTCTATACTATTTGGCAAAAGGATAAACACAGAAACTTACAGAAACTCAGAAGTCTTTGTATTTTTCAAGTAGTTATAAGAATTCTTTAAAAATACAAATTTCAAAGAAAGTTACTTAGTCCCATTGCTGTCATGAGCAGGACGTGGTCATGTTTTTAGCTGTGATCTGTGGGACTGTTCCCTGGCTACCCAGTCATACAGTCCGGCTCTGTCTGACCAGACTACGGACAAATATTAAAGTTTGCAAAGAGCCATGAGGAGAGAAGTGATACCTGGAGTGTGGCACAAAGGAAAGGAAATGGAGATTAGAGTTAATACAGCTGTTTCCATGCCTGGGTCTCAGAGAATATGGACCTCATTAACTAAAGACAAGAAAATGTCACTGGGCTTACAAAAAAAAAAAAAATGGAGGGAGAAGAAACTCAACTTGGAAGCAAAGTTCAACCAATGTCAGGCAAAAGTTGCTGCTCTGAATAACCTATAAATGATGCTAAACTCTAAGAGATAGATGTGAATCAAGAAGTCCACGTGGGATCAGCTATAAAGCGAAAATGTTAAGTTTACTGATTTTAACTCGGCATTTTCTGGGCACCAGCCGGTGGGGGGGGAGGCTGTCAAATCAGAGAAATCTCAGCTATCAACTCCGAGGTATTTACATTACCTCAGAAAGGCAAGCGAAGGTGTAGGTGTTTCAAGCACCGAAGAGGGTCTGAAGGCACACCTAAGGCGGTAAGACTGGACAAGACCATGGACACGCGACGCACGCTGCCTGCAGGAGGCCACTCACGTGTTTCCAGGGGATCCCCTCCCGCTGGTACTCCTCTTGTTCCTGCTTCAGGACCAGCTGGATAAACAGCTGCTGGAGTTTTTCGTTGCAGTAATTGATGCAGAACTGTTCAAAGCTGCAAGAAAGGGGGTCAACGAGGCTCAAACAAGTTAAAAAATTAAAAATAAACAACAGGGTGTTTAGTGTCTTCTCTGGTTTACCTGTTGTTGTCAAAGATCTCAAAGCC